AGAAAGAACAATAAATAAAATAATTGATATAGATGTCATGACTATACAATATGATAGAAGGTAACTGAAAGAAATAGAGATAAAGAACTGGGAGAAGAAGCTTATTAAAGAGAATATTAAAGAAGGCATGTATCAAATCCATCTGATTGAAATACTTAGGTTTAATAAATGGGATAATAGTAATAACAAAATGACCTTTTATTCTGATAGATTCCTTGTTGATCACGAAAATGAAAACATGAAAATAGGTGCAGCATGGATACAAATTGGAAAAGCAGGAAGGGAAAACAAGTTTCAAGCAGGGGTAGCTGATTAGCCTTCATTCACAAGAACAGAATTAATAGCAATAGTTACTATACTATTAATAGTATCAGTTAATAGCAAGATCAATATTCACACTGACAGCCAAGCATGTATCTCCAAATGGAAAACTATAGAAAAGAAGGATCCCAAAAAATCCACAAAAGATGGCCAAAGGAACAAAATTGATCCTTATGGGCATAAATATTAAGCCTGATAAAGAAAAAAAAATTAAATTTAAATCCTATCAAGGTTAAAGCATACTTCAATATTTAATATAATGAGGAAGTAGATATTCTAATCAAAAAAGCCTCAAAGTTCCCAACAATAGAATAGCAAGATCTGAACTTATCTAAAATTATTACTGAAATCAAATGGCAAAATATAGTACTAGATATTTCAATAAGACAGTTTGTTAAAAAAACCAATATCAAAATAATATTGCACCAATGGACAACCCAAAATAAAATAAACAAAAGATAGGGTCATCAAATTCAAGACCAGCACAAGTATATATAGAACCTAGTTTGGAAACAAATGAATAATAGGCACATATAAAATATCTCTTTCAAAAGATCACAAAGAAAAAGCTTTCTTATTAAGATGACCAGTGATAAGCTACCCACATTAACAAAGCTAGCCACAAAAAAACCAAACTTATACAAGCAAATAAAATACCTCACATGTGAATAGCAAGAAGAGACAATAGAATATTTGCTAGAATATCCAGCATATAAAACTCAGTGGCAAGAAACCTGGTAGAAGGATATGGAAGATATAATGCAAGGTTTCAACAAACTCCTAGCAAATAGGAAAAAGGAGTCAAAAGAAAAAAAGATAAGTCTAGCAATTGATAATAGAATGAAATAAGGAGAAATATATAAGAAAATAGCTCAACTAGTAGAAAGAATCTCAAATACTAGTCAGAATATGCTTAGTTTCTACATGAGCTGATTGAAAAAAACCTAATGGATGAGATAGCAGACTTGAAGTATTATGGAAAGAGAATCAGTAAAGAAGCAAGAAAATAAATAATGAAGATACAAAAAAAAATATGTAACCACTTCAGAAAGAAAATTTGGAATGTTAGATGCAACAAGGTAATAGAGTGAGAACGGATATTGGGAATTAATAGAAATGACAAGATCAAAAGATTGACATATCTATAAGACAAAAAATAGGGCCAAGGTATCAGGAAATCATCATACCAAGTATTATTAAAGGAAGAAGAATTAGAAAATACAATGCTCAAACAAGTCTTATGAGATAGAATAAAGTATGGAATGAAATAGTTGAATTTTAATCTTTGTCAGAACTCAAAAAAGTAATCTGTAGTAGTGATCTATAGACAATAATGTTAAAAGTTGGAAGGATATTTACTTGAACTTCTAATAAAGTAATAAATTACTCCTGAAGTTGCATTTAGAAAGATAAAACAATCAAGACAAGTGAGTTAGTTAAAGAATTAGCTTTAGCATTTTATATTATATGTATAGCTTACAAATGTTTAATAAAACATACATAACTAGCTTGACAGAGAGCAAAAAAAAAATAATAATAATAACTATACTGGTTATCCTCAAGCATGTTGCTGTCTCTAAAATGTGAACTAGTAAAAATTACTAGTGCTAAAAAAATTTTGAGGGAAAAAAGAAAGGAGGTCAAAAAATAAATGAATGTATGGGATGATTACTCTATATATCCAATTTCTTGCTATGTGACTTATATAGATGGAAGAAAATTTTGTTCAAGGTATTCATTAAAACTTCTCAAGTAGTGACAAATACTTATTCATATATGATAGTAAAAACATCAGTGCATAGTTTGATTGCATTTCAGATCCCCTGATAATTTTTACACAATATTAGTTATGTTTTAGATACCTTTATCTAGGTTCTTGGAAAATATGAAAATCTCAACCATTGTCTTTGATAGTTGACTTGTGCTTCCTTATGAAAGTTCTCAAAACATTAGTGCAGATTATATATGGAAGTAAAATACTAATACTCAATAGAAAAAAAGAAATCTTTAGTATAAACTACTGAGTCACTTTTTTAGGAGGTATAAGAAAAGGAAAGGTGAATTCAATTCCATTTAGAAATAAGAAAGGATTAGAATAGAAATGTATGTATAGATATTAGTAAATCAATCCACAGACTATTTTCTTTGATCCTTATTATTATATAACAGTATAGTAAAGACCACTATTCATATACTCCATTTTCTGTATCTTAAAAGCTGAGCCAAGAAATAGATAAAAGAATCAATATCATATCTTCGAATCTTTACCTATTTAATGAAACCGGGAAGAACCTATCTAGTGATTAAAGGTAGGTAACTGTGTCTTCAAAAAACTAGATACAGTATCTTGTAATCTTTATTATAGTTGGATAGACTCTTTCTGAAGATGGTCCATGACTTGTGTAAAAATATATTTTGTATTCACTTGCATTAGACAAAAATGACTAATGATGAACTCCAGATTCTTATGGAGCTAAGAAAATATATTCGAGACATGTGTGATGACCAATAGGGGCTTGTTTATATTCTTTTACTAATATGTATTTTTTTGTTCAATTACTGTGTGAGAAACTTTGTGCTACTCAAAATTTAGAGTCAAACTAAGGTAGGCAAATTTTTTCAGAAAAAACCAGAAACAAGTACTATTAGAGCTAATATCATGACAAAAAAGTAGGTTGATTTGTTCTAAAGAGTTTCTTATTATAAACACAGCTCTGTAGTGTTTTTCTGTTAAGTGGGAGAACCAAAGTACACCAGTTCTTCTTTCTTTCAAAACTTTCTTATCATTGATAAAAAAGATATTTCATGGCTTAGGTCAATAAATGTTATGTTTTTATATAAAGAGTAATGTTTACAAGAGGAAGAGAAATATGGAAATGACTCTTGAGCTTTTTCACAAGTTGGTTTAAGAAAAGTGTTAAGGCTTTTTTAGTAAAGAAGTATAATAACTTCTTGTTAATGTCTTTTTTGTGTGTGATTAGAGAATCAGTAGAAAGAGTTGATTAGAATTATATATTAAATTAATTAATAAATAATCTTATAATAAATTTTTATTAAAATATTAATAACTTTTTTATAGATTATTTATGAATTATTAAAAAGAATTCATTAATGTTTTTATTAATAAATTTAATTAAATTTAGCAATAATTTGATTATAGAATAATATAATTTTAACTAGTACTTAAAATATTATCTTATATTATAAGTTAGTAATTTATAAAGTATTATAGTGACAATAAATATTTTTATCAAATAATACAAAAGATTTTATTGCAGAATAAATAATAAAATTCATTATTTAATTTGTTTTTCTAGATAAGTATATTATTTAAATATTAAAAGAATTATAATTATTTATTTTTAATTTTATTACAAAATATTTTTATCTTTCTATAATTAATTAAGAAACAAAAAACATAAAATTAAGCACAAAACTGATTTTTCATTGGTTTGTCAAATTAAGAAAACATTTAAGAAAGAGAACAAATCAAACTCATTTGATAATTTTGATAAAATTTTTTTTTCAAATGGTATTTATTCACATAAGTTAAATTTATAATAGGATATATAATAATAACAACCTGCTAATTATAATTTGTGGTATAGAAGGTTTTAACCCAAATTTCATTATGAAGCAAAAATATTATTCTCAAAATTAAACTTTGAGGCTTATGACAGATTTGTTAGACTTGAATAAAATTGTAAATTGTACTTATAATTCAATAGATTAATAAATTACACTAACAGAGCAATAAATCACTCCCAAAGTTACACTTAGAGAGGTAATATAACCAAAATGAGTGAGTTAGTTAGAGAATTAGCTTTAGTGTTTCATTTAATATGTACAGCCTACAAATGTTTAATAAAGCACACATAACTAACCTGACAAAGGGTAAAAAAAAAAAAATGGATTAATAAATTACAATATAACCTAACTATGGATATTGAAAAAAAAAAAAAGGTCAATTATTAAATTTAAAACTTTTAAAATTACAATAGAGACTGTATGTAAGACGTTTAACACCAAAATAAAACCAAAATATTTATCTTATTAAAGAAATCACTAAATTGAATTTACGATGTTTGTCTTAAAATTTATACGGACAAATATGCTAAATATTTGTCAACATAAACTACTGAATACATATAAACGATGTTTTAATTGAATCATAAAACAAGAAATTACATAAAGTTTATAGAAGGGATAGTCAATGTTGACTAATCAATTCAATACATCATCGCCAAAAGTCAAAGCTTTAAAGATACATATGTAAATAAAAATATCGAGATTTCTTTTAGGTTTTACTTCATAAAAACTCGTATAGAATTGCCTCTAATGTAAGATGCAACAAGGTTGAACGCTTGCTACAAGCTATTTAATTTTAACTTTCAATCAGAAGATATTATACAATATAAACATGCAATTAAGAAATATAATTACTGATTATTTCTGTTAAACTAAAGATATAATGAAAACAATAAGTGCGACAATTCCAAATCATGTGAAAATAAGAGAAACTCGTAAGTGTCGCTTTTGTTCTATCGAAAAAAAAGTCTAATTTACTTTTTCCAATGAAAGAAACTTTTGTGATGTTTTTTCTCGCCATCATTTTCTAATAAATGTGAAAAAAAAAATAAGCATAGATAAGATATAAGGAAAATGTATAGGGGTTTATTTTAACCTCTGTAGTTTGAAGCAAACATACTTCCTTCGCTCGGTCTACGACGCGATGATCCCTGTTGAGGTTCATAATTGTTTTGATTCCCACTTATTCGTTCGTATGAATTCCGTTCATGCTGTTGTCCATATACAGGAACATAATATATGCCCCCTTCCTGAATTGGTATACTTCTCCTACTATTATTAGTCGTGCTGTGGCCATTTTGAATATAATATTGAGGCGTGTTATTCATCTCTAAATGTCCTGTATTATTGGACGTTATAATTTCTTCGGTAACATTTCCCTTTATTGTTTAAATGAACTATTAGGATGTTTTTAAAATATGAAAAGGAAGATGTTTAATATTTTCATTCTTACATGCGCATCTTCTGTTCTAGTCACCGTGGTCCTAACTCCATCAATTATTTGTGTCGTAGTCGTTTTTTTGTAACCGCCACCACCTCCCAATGAGTTGGTTGAAAAGAATGACGATGATGACATGGAAGAACCAGGCATGGGGCCAGAAAACATTGAATTACCAAAAAACGGTGATCTCGCAAATGGATCAAAGAAGAAAGGATCAGAAAAGACAGGATCAGAGAAGACAGGATTAGAGAAGACAGGATTAGAGAAGATATTATCTCCTACAAAAAACCAAATTTATTAACTGTCAAATAAAAACATTTCCAATAATTTATTGTTATTGTGCTTACCGAAAACATGTCTGAATAATTCATTTGGGTCGTGGAACTAATATAAAGTAAAAAAATCAGTTGACTAGAAAAAATGTTGTCAGAATAAAATGTGAATTCATACTTGGAAGTGTGCGAATTGTGGTCCTCTAGTTTCAAACGCTGGACCTCCGTTCTTAAGACCCTCTTCACCATATAAATCATATATTCTTCTTTTCTCGACTTAATATAAAGCAAGGGAATTAATGGAAATCCAACTCGGAATCTTTAGCAATACTCATACTACCATCGCTTAAAACTTCGTAAGCCTCGGAGATCAGTTTAAACTTCGCTTCTGCCTCTTCGCGTCTATTGACGTTCTTATCGGGATGCCATAATAAAGCTGCTTATTAACAGAGATCGTAAGGAGAAAAACGCTTGATCGAGATAGAAGTCAGAACTAAACTATAACTTTGAAGTCAAACCTTGACGTCGGTATGCCTTTCGAATGTCGTCTTCTGTTGCCTCTCTGTCGATGCCTAGAATTTCGTAGTATGTCTCTTTGGCCTCCATTATGCTTTGTGTAAAGGAATAAATTATGTATTATTCTTTAATTTAGTTTACTGCTTATACGTCGAAAGAAATTCATCCACAACTTTCTAGATAGTTCCATAGGTCGATTATGTAAGCACGCACGTATGACTACATTTTTTTGGTAATCAAAATGTTGTCACCATCAGTTAGTATGGGAAATTCTTTTGAAACACGACAAAAACAAAAACATCTGTAACGATTTTTGGGAGAGCAAAATCAGAATTGAATAATGTACCGCAAAAGGTTTGTCGTGTCACGTGATAACGTCGCGAATTTGAACGAAACTATTATTATTTTTTTTTAACCCGCAATCAGATAATATGACTTGTTTTTTATTATAAATAGATTACTATATTTATATAATACTGTATATGACTTTCACATATTAATTCCTTTATCTATAAAGTGTTATCTATTCTAGATACAACTTAGAAAATAATATTTTGTTTCCTTTGTAATTTGGATTATTCTTTAGCTATTCAGATTACTGCCTATAATTCATTATTATAAGTTTCTGAAATTCTTTCTGTGATTAAAAACAAAATTATTTAAATATTTTGGTTATCTAAGCATCTATAATCTTGTTAATGGTTTTTTGGATTTTATGTTATTTTTGATTTTTTATTAAGAAAAAGAACTTGATCTTTTTTTTATCACTAGTTGAAAAAAAATTATTCAGCATATTGTCACTCATGTAACATTTGGTAAAAAATAAATAATTTGACAAAAAAATGACATAAATAAATTGATAACTATATAATTCGGCTATAAATATTACAAAAATCGATATATTAACAATTCATCAAAAAATTAATTAATAATTCATTAAATAATTCATTAATAATTTGATAAAAATTCATTAAAAGTTTGTCACAAAATTATTCATTAACAATTTAATAAAAATTTAGCATTAATTTATTAATAATTTGTCAATAATTTGTCAATTATTTATTAAAAATTCAGCAACTTTTCATCAAAACTATTTATTAAAAATTCATTAACTATTTGTTAAAAAATCAGTAACTATTTATTAAATTATTCATTAAAGAATTATTAATTATTCATTAAAAATTTGACAACTATTCATCAACAATAAAGTAAAAAAAATTAATAAACTTATATTAGTCAAAATTGTGTCATTTGGTAGTTGAATTATTGCTGAATTTAATTAAATTTAATAATAAAAATATTGCTAAATTCTTTTTGATTACTGGCACTTGACATATTACTATTTCAATGATAAAATGACAATCAAAAATTTAGCAATCAAAAATTAGCATATATTATCTAAAGCAAAATCAATAGTTGATCACAACAGTTACATGTTAGTAAATAAATATCAGATATGTAAATACATAAAAACCATATATTATAGACTTCTTAATATTAATATAATAACTTATTGCCATATATGTCAAATAGAAAAATAATACATAATAGTATTTATTCACTCATATAATTAAAAGACATCTATAATAACAAAAACACTTTCCACTGATCCATTATTTTTCTAAAAATTTCTTTTTTTGATAATTCTTTAGAGAAAAAGGATAACACAATCCAAGCTCAGCAAACACAGTAAAGAGAAACACAACTACATCATTTTACTTGGAACAACACACAAAGCTCTATAAACAAGCCACCAGGAAAAGAGTACATAATAATAATATTAGTACTTTATCCATCAACTTTTGAGAAAAAGGGAAAACAAAAGTAAATCTGAATC